AAAAAAAAAAAAGAAAAATAGGTTAAAAATATAGAAATGGAATTGCTGGATCAAAAAGTATGTTCTTTAAGACTTCCAATAAACAATTCATAGCCAGGTTTAAAAGGAAATCAGACAAAGATAAATATTTAAAGTGATGATATTCTAATTACCCTGATTTGCTCTTTACACATTAAATGAATGTAATGAATTATAAAACATATCCTGAAAATATGTGCATCTATTATGTTATCAATAAGATAAAAATAATAAATTATTAAATGGGAAATCAGTAATGCCCAAAACTTCCAATAATGACAACACAATTTCAAGCAAATATATTCTAATTTAGAATGCTTAAATATAAGTGCTAAGATAGCAAGATACTTTAATTAAAGAAGGATTGATTTTTTTTTCCTAAGGCTCTACTTCAAAGTGCTGGCTATTCAACCAACTAATCTGTATAGGTATTTGGATGGTGAGGTAAAAGCTATTTTAAGGTCTGTTCTCATCTCACTTTAATAAGGTGAAATAAAGTGCCATATGTACTAAAAATAGTTCACTGTTCTGAAACTCAGTGCCTAATTGTCAGAACAATATTAATGATGCATATTCTATGCATTTTTTCCCCAAATATGGTATCTGCCGTGTACAAAATTCAGAATAGAAACCACGAGATATCTGAAATAACAACATTCCCTTAAATAGTTAAAAAAACCAAATGAATCCAGTTACTTTAATAAAATAGAATGTACTAAAACTAAGTATCTCAAACTTTTATAACTCATTGTTTTAATTGACCAAAAGCACTGTGAATCTAGTGTTAAATTTTATACTGGTATAGTCTAATGAAAGTTTTACTATGATAAACACATGCCACCAAATTTATTTGCCTAATTTCCCTATGTATAAAAGTGACTTGACAATATGGTACTTTAAAACTCACTTTTCTTCTCTGACAACTGTAACAGAATTAACACAATAAACTACTTCGGGCAATTACTAGGCTACTCATTATAAAACATAAGAAGATTCTATATTCACAAAGTCATTAATTTTGTTTAAATCAAACTGAGATGCCATAAGTTAAGAAAATATTAAATATCATAAGAGATTTTAAAGGTACAGTAACCCCCCAAATGGAACTACAAGCAGGTTTCACTTAAGTTGTATCACAAAAGATTTACATTGTGTTTGATTAAAATTTGAGCTCAAGGCTGAAATTAATGCTGGAAGTGAGACTGCAACAAATCTTTAATACCTAAAGAAACCTATACCAATTACTAACATTCAAAAAACCACAAATATACAACCACTTAGAAAGAAACATTCCAGTTAAGATACCCTTCTTAAAACAGAAGTCTAATTATTTTATACATTATCTGATACTGTTATTGGCTTGCCATTTTGTGAGCTGTAAGAAGTAAACTGATGGTTAAAATACTATAACCTTGAAACTATATACTAACCTTCATTATCCAAAAGAACTGTCAAAAAACAGAAAAAACAAAAAACAAACCTTTTGAAAGCTTTGTTTCTTCTACCGCTTTGGTTAGATGCCCTTCGACGATCAGCTTCTCTGCCAAGGAAAACAAACGTTACTATCCAAGCCCAAACTAAGCAGCATTTCCCTGAGCTAGGCAGTGTAACACATTCCATGACCAAATTTAAAGATGATAACATTACTCCTATGACCAAGCTTGAATAAAAACTTGAATCTGGAAGGGGAACTAGGAGAACTGGAACTATGATGGAGCAATCAGGTTAATGCAGAAAACTGGCGGCAGGCAGACAATTTGCCTTTTATTTTCACCTTTTTTTTAAAAGCCTAGATCTTTTTATAAACTGGACTCAGAAGAAATAATCAAAGCAATTCTCTTTAGATCAAGAATATTTGAATTCCAGGATACTACAAAAACAAATAAACAAACAAAAAAGAATATTAAGTTGAAATAAAATATTTATGAAAAGGCATTTATTCAAATGAATAAAAATTAAGTTATATGGATAGCTTATCGTTCTCTGCTGGCATAACTAAGCAGAGACGGCTAAATAACACATTTCAGTAAAATGAATTATTTTAGAAGAGCTAATCAAAGAAATAAAAAAATTTTTGGTTTGTTTTATGGGGGATTCTCTGTAAATGTATAATGTTACTTCCTTGTAACTTACTCAGTCATATTTTCATATTCTACATTTCACTGAGGAGGATATCTCTATTGGGTCCTTTACTTATTGCTGTATGTCATTTGGTCTCCTTCAATTTATTCATTAGCAGTATGTGCGAATAAATTTTCTATTCTATTACTCTACAACCTATTGCAACTTGGTCTACACCCACCACTCAACCACTGAAACTGCTCCAATATCATTATAGCCTCTTGTCTGCCAATGCCCATAGCTCTTTTTCTTTTTTAATTTTTAATTTTATTTAGTTGGTTAGTTTTTTTTTTTTTTGAGACGGAGTTTCGCTCTTGTTACCCAGGCTGGAGTGCAATGGCGCGATCTCGGCTCACCGCAACCTCCGCCTCCTGGGTTCAAGCAATTCTCCTGCCTCAGCCTCCCGAGTAGCTGGGACTACAGGCGTGCGCCACCATGCCCAGCTAATTTTTGTATTTTTAGTAGAGACGGGGTTTCACCATGTTGACCAGGATGGTCTCGATCTCTTGACCTCGTGATCCACCCATCTCGGCCTCCCAAAGTGCTGGGATTACAGGCGTGAGCCACCGCGCCCGGCAGCTCTTTTTCTCAATTTTCATTTCTCATAGGCTTTTTGCAGTATGTGGCACTTTGTCTCTGCCTTTTTAAAAACAGAAAGATAAAGTAACAGATTTTGATTAAGATGTATAAAGTAAGCTGTCCTACCTGTCCTCTGTCCTACTTCATTCCTAAAATTCACTTCCTACAACTTTTAGCCATTTCTATTTTTTTTTTTTTAATTTATTTTTTTGAGATGGAGTCTCACTCTGTCACCCAGGCTACAGTGCAGTGGAGCAATCTCAGCTCACTGCAATCTCCACCTCCCGGGTTCAAGTGATTCTCCTGCCTCAGAGTCCCAAGTAGCTGGGATTACAGGTGCCCACCACCACGCCCAGCTAATTTTGGTATTTTTAGTAGAGACGAGGTTTCACCATGTTGGCCAGGCTGGTCTCGAACTCCTGACCTCATGATCCACCTGCCTCAGCCTCCCAAAGTGCTGGGATTATAGGCGTGAGCAACCGCGCCCGGCCTAGCCATTTCTTCTGATACTTAACATTTATATTTCTAAATATATATTGATTTTTATTTTTTCCACTTTAGATATTTATTGACAAGGTATTTTACATGATTAAGCTCTGCCATTTTCTACTATCATCCTCAAGAATTGCATTTTGTCAATCTATAATTGGTATTTATATTGACAAATTATTTTATATAGTCATATAGTAGACTACAATTACATTTCCTTTCTTGTATGGCATTCAATATACTCAGAATTTATAATGCTTCAGTTTTTTGTTTTATTAATTTTTTATATATCTCAAAAATAGCCCAAGTTCTCACAGAACCATACAACTTTCAATACTGTCAAACACACCAAGTAATTTATCACATTATATATCCCCATCTTCCTCTTCCTGTTTTATTCCTTTGTTATAATTTCCTGAAAAGGGGTGGACAGAAGGTAAATACTTTGTGATTTTGCTTCTCTGAAAAGGTTAGCATTCTACCTTCACATTTGATTGATGGTTTGGCTAGATACACAAATCTACAGAAAATACTTTTGCATCAGAATTCTGAAAGCATTGTTCCATTGTCTTTTAGTTTCCAACTAGAAGATGAGTCTAATACAGCCTGAATCCTGTCCCTCAGTACACATAGTAGAGATTTCTTACAGTCAGCAATACCTAGTTTGCTTGTCCTGTTTGAGCATCAGGGAGGACTGCACATCCCAACTCCCTAGCACCGAAGAAGGTTCATAGGACTGATGCTCACCAGGGCTAAAGCATTTAAAAGAAAGTGTAAGTTTTTTACACCTTATGCCACTACAGGAACTCTAGAGTTTCTAGAGTTTGTGTGCTCAGGAAAGGGATGCCTTTGAGTCCCTCTTCCAGAGCTCTGAGACCTGGTGTCGGGGAGATGCTCTTTCTTGCTTGGATACCTTGGAAACTAGTAAGAGGAAATCCCTATAGTTACTGACTAAAGATTCAGATAAAGTGAAACAATTTTTTGAAAAGTTACAACACACGTTGGATCAAAAGAAGAATGAAATTTTGTCTGACTTTGAGACCATGAAACTTGCTGTTATGCAAGCATATGGCCCAGAGATCAACAAACTCAACACCATCTTGCAGGAGCAACGGATGGCCTTTGACATTGCTGAGGCTTTCAAAGATGTGTCAGAACACATTGTATTTCTGCAACAGATGCAGGAGTTCAGGGAGAAAATCAAAGTAATCAAGGAAACTCCTTTACCTCCCTCTAATTTGCCTGCAAGCCCTTTAATGAAGAACTTTGACACCAGTCAGTGGGAAGACATAAAAGAGTCAATGTGGATAAACTTTCTTTGCCTCAAGACACTGGCACACTCTTGGCAAGGTTCCCTAAAACTTTACTATCTTCTGATGATAGTTAAGACTCCATCTGCCTAGATCCCTGAGTGACAATGTGGAGCAGAGTGGTCTTCCTCACCATGGACATGTAGCACGAATGAGAAATGTTTGTTGAGTTGAGCCATCAAAGATTTCATGGCTTGGCTGGGCACAGTGGCTCACGCCTGTAATCCCAACACTTTGGGGGGCCAAGGCGGGCCGATCACCTGAGGTTGGGAGTTTGAGACCAGCCTGGCCAACAGGGAGAAACCCGTTACTACTAAAAATACAAAATTAGCCAGGCATGGTGGTGCATGCCTGTAATCCCAGCTACTCGGGAGGCTGAGGCAGGAGAATCACTTGAACCCGGGAGGCAGAGGTTGCTGTGATTGCGCCATTACACTCCAGCCTGGGCAACA